AGAGTGCCTCCCCCCCAGAGGTCTATCTGCTGTCTTTCCAAGCTCAAAGAAAAGTCCACAAATAGAGGCACAGCTATTTTTAACAGAATTCTAGGCATATGAAACTAACTTGTATAGTGATCTGGTTTGAGAACTCATGGTTTCTTCTTGGGTTGTTCATACCCACAGTGGCTTTGTGTGATGTCCAAACCCAGGAGGGCAACTTCATTTTGGGATGCAGAAAGGAATTTATAATGGGTTTCTCGTACTCTTTTGAAAGAATTGGGAGGAGTGGGTAGGAACATGATAAATATATATGTGCATGCATGCATGGGAGCAAATTGTGTGTGTGTGTGTGTGTTGCAGTGAAAAGGTGAATGTGTGCAAGTGGGTATGACTGTGTGCTCACAAGCATTTGCTTTCCCCACCCACCAACACTGCCTGTGGTCTTTGGGGCCCAAAAAGATTGTGCACCCTTGTCTTACAGCATCATTCCTCTGAATTGGATGTCCTTATTTATCCCCCTTCCTAAGGCTGTGTTATCCCTTGTTTACAGCTCTTTGGGTGGGATTTGAACCCAGGCCTCTCACAGGCAGGACCATGTCCAACACTAGCCACCGATCTATCATAGAGTTTAAAGACTTTTCTCTAGGAATGGGCTGTAGTGTGTTTTTTTGTTTTCTTTTGTTTTGTTTTGTTTTTGGAAGGGCCAGGAATCCTCAGCTGCAATCCAAAACATGAGTTTAGTCTCTTCACCCAGACTGAGAGGGTCTCTGGTTTTCAAAAATGTGTAACGGTAATGTAATGGCTGCAATGCATTCAGAGCTAGTTTGCATAGCATTCTATTATAGAATCTCATGCATTAAAGGTTTGGCATCATATGCATTGTTACCTGGGCAACACCCATTGCCCTTCCTAACTAGCAATCTTGACTGATCTCACTTAAGGTCCCAGGTTTACTCTCTGGCAGCTCTTTTTAGAAGTAGCTAAGGGCCAGTTCCCGGCTGGGGCCTGTTGGAGGAGGCAGTCCTGCGATCAGTTGATTCTTACTGTGATCCAGAAAAGGCATTTTCTAGATTGGGGCTCCATTCTTTTTAAAACACACATGTAATCCAAAACACCCTGCTCAGTGAAGACTACAAAATGCTCACAGTCGTATCAAAAATATTTTATTTATTAAAGTAACAAATGTACTAAACATTCTATACTTGAAATGCATTGAATAATTGCTAGAATAAATACAGGCAATTAATTCAATCTTTTATAAAATGAGAGCATTTTATCTGACACTGGTTTACCCCAAAGCTTTAATTTATACAATATAAATAGTTAAAAGGCAAAGTCAAGTTTCTTTTTTCCATTTGTGTCATTTGCTTGTTTTTGTTTTTTCAAAACTGCTTAATACTGATCCATCCGATCACCAAAAAGGATCAACCCTCCCTTAGCCCCCAGTGGTGAACATATATTAAAGCTAATTCGCAAGCAAATGTGTTATCTCTGCATCATCAGACAGGTAATAGAAGTTAGTACATGTGTTGCACATTCCACTCAGAAAGGAGTCCTGCTCAGGCATTATCTAGCTCCTGAAAGGGACACATGAGCAAGGAAAGTGGTTACGGGAAGCAGCCTGTCCAGTGAATGCCAACTGTGTACCAATTAGTCTGTCCTCTTGGTGTCCGTGTTTATGCATGGAAGGGGGACTGTTCTATTAGGGTTTCAGCTCATGCAGATGTCTCCACCTATACAGTTCTATGCACAAAAATCCCTTCTCGCGCTCCATATGCATGGTTGCCAGAAGGAGGGGTGAAGGAGCACATGTGATGTTGGAGGCGGAGCTACACCATGAGGCCCCCTTCCTTGCTCTCTTGTTGCTTTCTGCAGTTTAGAAAATGTCTGAAGAGGGCCAAAAACAAATACATCTGCATGAGAAAGGCCGCAAAGAGACAGAACCAGATGGGCTTCTGTTGTACCACAATGTATGTCCGTGCAAAAGAGCATAGATCAGTATGTTGTCGATGTTCTTTCAATAAATCCATGGGGATTGCTATTATGCCTAGAACTGGGATGAAACTCAGTGAAATCTGTCCCTCTAGCATTGATGGACTTCCTCTCCTACTCAGCCCAGCCTTAGAAAGTGAGAGAAGCCCAGAGGAAGTCTGGGAAAACCGGCAGAATGAAGGTTGCATAGCCAGGAACTTCCGTTTGTATCGGGGCAGCAGCAAAAATAAAGCTTTCTGTGCTTGCACAGTGTGTAGGGCTTGATTCCTGGTGAGCACCGCATGAACACTGTTCAGTGCACACCAGGAGCTCAGACCCAGGGCCACAACAAAGTACACCAGAGTTCGTGGAGCCCACCTGACAGATCCCCACCCCTAGGCAAAGGATTGGGACCAAAAGCTTCCTTATCTTTCAAAACCAGAATCTATCCATAGGCATACGTTAGAAAATGTGCACGCACAACTTTGGTGAGTACCAAGAAACAGGTCACTAAGGACAGATCTGTTAAGGACAGATACAGGTAGTCTAGACTATGCCTACTTACTGGCGAGTAAGCTCAATGAGAACTCAGACTTATTTATGAGCTGTAAATTAGTCATGCTTTAGTCACACTGAACTCAAGAAAGGTTTATTTTTGTCCCACTGATTTCAGTGTCTGAGAGTAGACAACACAATAACGACACTCAAGACTTGAGTAAGTGTTGGCACTCGGCTGTGGGTAGTCGTTGACATATGGGTTATTTTGTTTCCTGAACCCAGCCAGGATAACAAACCATGGTGAACAATGCCCCATTCAGAACCATCAACAAGCCATGGCTTCTCTTCCTGGGTTGTTCTTAGTCAACATCCCATGACTTGTTGGCACAGCTGGGCTCAGACAGCACAATAACCCATGTTTCAGCAAAAACCCACACTCAAACCATGCTCAGTCCTTGGGTGTGGTTATTGTATAAGCTGAACGCAGTCAGTGTGACTAACATATTCTGAATCTAAACTCAGGAAGCCAAGGAATCGTCAAGAGACTCTTTCCTGTACATAATCAATCTGAGAAGGGCTTCTTCATTGGGTTGGTGTCAGTGTATGTGAGCAATTATCAGTTGAGGAATATGGGCAGAGGGTGTGGCACTCATTTCCCACTAGTGCATTTCCTGAGGGGAGCTGGTTGGCTTCAGTGGGAACAGAACCCTGGACTGAACGGCCCCGGATCCAGCAGGGCTTTTCTTGTCTTCTTAATATGGCATTTAGTTGCATTGCTAATTCGGAGTGTTCAAAAGGCACATGTCTCTCAACAAAACATTGGTTTGATATAAACATGCTGTCATTTACTTTTGAATCTTCTGATTCCATATCTATTGAAGCCATATTTCAGCATGTTACAAGTGGCATTTCTCTGCAACCCAGAGAGCTAGGAACCTGGGGCAACGTCTTGCCTTATGGCTGAAAAGTACAGTACAAGTCCTACAAGTTAGTTCCTTATTTGAAAAGATGAGCAACCACCTTACAAGAACGAATCTGATAAGAAGCAGCTTGTTCTCAGCCAGACCTGTGAGCTGCCAATTTGTTTTAAGGCAATCCTCCCAGTCCAATCTTCTGCTGGTGCAGGAATTACCTGCTTTGTGCTCTCCCACCTGCAAGATCCCCATTCATTCATTGAACACCTGGAGTTACCCTGTCCATTGTAATGTGTGAGTTGCGGAAGATGCGATGGATTAGATCCAGTCTTAGCTGCACTAAAAGTGGATCCATTGAAATAAATGGATTTTGAATAGGCCATGACTAATGTAGCTCTTGTTGCTTTCAGTGGGTTTACTCTAAGTAGGACTACAAGTGGAATTAAGGCTTCTAGTTCAAAGGGGGTCAAAAGTTTTGATAAGCTTGAACCTGCACTTGGTACAATGTCCCAGGAAACAGAGGGGATAGGATTCTGGACTGTACTACTTTGAGTGTGTGTGCGTGTGCGTGCGTGCACACACATGTGCACAAGGGAGCAAATACCTTTGCTGACTGCTCCCCAATATGGAATGCCCCCCTGAATGTTTTCGTTAGCATTAAGTGGCATATCACTGAAAAGGATATACTCAGACTTGATCCCTGTAGGCTAAGCTTCTATATAAAAGCATATATTTCTTTTATGACAGGGATCTTTTTACATAGGGAAAGAATTTAAATGCTGAACCCACACCTGCACTCCTCTAGCAGCTGAGAACCCTCCCACTGCTGCCTTCATCCACGCAGGCCAGAGAAGTAGTCCATAAGCTAAAATCCTGCACCAAATGAAGCTTGTCCTATTTGCATGCACGATTTCACCCAAGTTCACAGGATTTCTAAAAGAGATCGTGAGAGAAGTCTGTGAGCAACACTGTTCAAGTAATGGTGGTAAATGGACAAGACTGGGAGACTCTTAAAAAGCAAACGGCAACATTGCATTGGGAAGCAGGGAGGGGGTTGTTCAGGCATTCTTCGTCCTCAGATGTATGCCCTTTGCCAGAAATTATGTTTCCCCTTACAAAATTTCTGGGGGTGGGAAGATTGCACATCTCTATCCCTTTGGCCTTAAAGAGCAACGATATTCCAGGAAGTCCTTCTGCACATCCTACATTGAAATGAGCAGCTGCCTTGCATGGCCATTTGCAATGTGGTGGGGAAGGAATCTGCATCAAATGAGGACTGGCACAGGCATTTAGTGCTCATGACCTGCTGGAAGAAATGAGAGTAAACCATGGAATGGGGTAACCTGGGAAAGGGGCTGGCTGGCTGGCTGGCTGGCTGGAGCCTGGAATGAGGGCACTCCATATTGATACATTTTTTGGAAGGCCCCATTTATATTGAGCTGTTGTCATTCCCTTCATCATGGGGCCTATGCAGAAACATTTCCTGGAGCATGGTGTTCTTTGTACATAAAGATTTTGTTTTCCAAAAAATCTGATGAAGATGCTGGTGTTTTTCAAATAATTTCAAATAAATTTTTAAAAGCACATATTTTAAATACTTTCACAGAAATAACCATTCATCAGTTTAAAAAGTAGAGAGAGAAGTTTTATTCTTTCCATCGAGGAAAAAAAAAATTCAAATCAGCATTTGTTTTCACATTGTGGGCAAGGGTTTTTTGTATTTTTCTCTTTTTAAAGTAGGAATTCTTCAAACCTATTTAGAAAAGGAGACACTGTTAAAAATGTTGGGAGAGGGAAGAATGTACTTTTTGGCAGAAATATAAAATATGAGATTTAAAAAAGAACTGGTGTAAAAAGTAAACAGAGACAAATAATTACAATTATATAAAAATACAACTTGGTCATCAAACCTTATAAAATTGACTTTGGAATTACATTTGGCAGCTGAAAACACACATGCACACACACAGACATGCACGCACACGTATAAACACACACACACATTCCTTCCTAGAAAAATCACAGAACAACTAGAAGTTCATAAATTAGGTTGCAAGGGGTTATCAGATCCTTTGCTTGTGTCTCCAAACTCTCTTTCTTCCATGTCCGTCCATATGAGCATGACCGATGAGGTATATAGGACGTTAACACTTTTGGGCGTACGCACAACAGAAGAAAGTGCATCATTGGAGACCACCCACAGGAATGGGTTGAATCCATGGGATTTTGTTCCCCCTCCCCCCAACAAGGCACAATCACATTTTAATTATTATTAATAATAATATTATTATTCTTTTCTGTCTTTCTGTCTTTCTTTCTTTCTTTTTCTCTTTGCTTTGGCATGTTCGTGAATTTGTTAATGTTCAAGTTCCAGCAGCAGTGACCCTTTTCCCTTGATGATATCAAATTCAGTGCCACAAATGCTAGAAGGTTCATCATCAGGTCACTTGGAAAAACTCCATGGGCAGCAAAAATGGGAAAAGACTCAGTGGTCAAATCATACATCCAGTACCATGTCATACTGTTGCTCTTTCTTCCGCCTGCCACATTTGGTGATAAGAACCAGGTACAAAGTCAAAAGCATCACCCAGTAGCACGCATAAAGTATCGTACCGATGATCAACACTGTCTGTTTGGATTCAGAAAATGTCTTTCTGGATTCCTTGTATACTGTGAAGATAACGCCACCTAAGAGGATTGTAAACCAAATGGACACTGGAATGAGTCCTATGAAATTGACCACAATAGTTTTTCTGCCTGATGTACCCCATCCTGCCTTGTTTATTGTAGCTATTGCAAACATCTTGGCCGGAAGTAAACTTGACATGTACAACACTGAGTAAAGGGACATAAACACCATAACAACGTTCCCTCTAAGGCAGCTGGCAAAGGAAGATTTTATGAGGCCCACGAGCTGAACAGTCAACAAGAAGAGGAGAATGTTCCACAGCTTTCCCCGGTAGAAAAGCTGAATGACAGTGGCAATTAGGAAGAATGGGAAAAACCCAGTGATGACAGCCTCATAGGTCATCCACAAATGATGTTTGTGGAACCACATTGCATTGTATAGCCATTCGCGGAAATAGGACTTACTCCAACGGGTCTGTTGGTTCAACCACCTGAGATACTCAATGGGTGTTTCGGTAAGGCACTTTGATCGAGCTGTATATTTTGTTGCATAGCCAAGGCTCAGGACCCGGTTTGTGAGATGTCTGTCATCTCCAAAGCTACACTGGGATCCCATGAATTCTTGATTGTACCAATCTTCCACAAATTCGTGGAGTAAGGAGTTTCTGTACATTCCCAAAGGTCCGCTGATGCACTGTACACAGCCAAAGTAGGACTGGCAGGCTCTTTCGATATTAAATGCCATCCAGTATCTGACACTGCTGAGAAAGGAGATCCACGAATCATACTTGTTCAGAATCTACAAGCAGCAACAATGAAAAGGAAGTTTTAACATTAGTTCCTAAGAAAACAACATAGGATGTATATTTCTAAAAAGCCATAAAGGACACGTCACTAAAAATAATACCACTAACATTTTTCACAGTTTGGCTGTTACTTTTCTCCTCCACACCACCATGTTTTCATGCACTTTGTTTGGATTCTCATTACGTTTGCACTGAAGCTCCACGCTATCTGTTCTTCCAGTGTTCCTCTTGTGTTTGGCCTTGTTTTAGAAAGTGAGCTGAGCAAAGAGAAAGTCTGAAAATGCTTGTGGAAGCCTGGTTGCAGAACTGGCAACCTTCTCTCATGTCATGTGCAGGACAAACAAAATCTGCGGCTCGTGATGCAGAAGAAGGTTGCTGCTTGTAGAATAGTCATTCAGGGCTCAATTTCTGGCAAGCAACATGCAAGCACTGGGTGTGGTTATCAGGAACTTGGACTCAATGGCCATGACAAAGCAGACTGGAGTCCAGGGAGCCAAGGCCAGCGAGTCCAAAGGATTCCCACCCCCAAAACAGGTTCCTCACACATCCCTGATTCAGTCAATGCATGCAACTCTTGCTGCTACAATATCCACATTGCATATCTGTGTCATACTTTTGTATTCAGGTTACAGTCTCCCCGTAAAATAATTAAGGAGATGAACATTGTCTGATCAGCACAACTCCTGAAATGCAACCATTGACTCCAACTTTTAACAAGTTAAACTTGTGTAAGAATTGGACTTGACTTGAAAATAATGTAATTAGCACTATTTTGGGCCCCTGAGACATCAGTCAACATTTATGCTCAGTCCAGGACCTTTTGCAAAGAGATCTGAATTCATTTTATACAAAGAAACCCCTGCAGCGAAAGCTAGTGTTGCTTTGCAAATTAGCAGAAGGGCTACTTCAGATGTTACAAATTTCTGCGCAGAAGGAAATAATGTGTCTATTCTAATGCACGAGCAAGGGAAACACACTCATACCTTCCTTGTTACAGGTATAAGCAAGCTAGATGTCCAGTGATGTTTACCTGTGCATTCACGGCTGGAAAAAGTGTCCACTACACATTACTGATTAAAATGTATGTACTATTTCTCACACGGAGAATCATCTTGGTTTACAAAATTGTAAAGTTACTCATTGAAGTGGTTTTAAGTGAAGAGACAGTCTTTGATGTCAGGCTAAAAGTCACAAAAAATTATATTCACCTGTACATCTCCCCCAACACCTCCAACCATTGGGTCTTCTTCTAAAACCTTTACCATTTCCACTGATGAAGCTGGATCCAGCATTGTATCAGAATCACATACCTGCCCATAGGAAAGAAACATGTAATTGCTAAAGATTCCAGAATCAGGATTGATGAAAAGCAAAACTAGAACTAAATAATTGCACATCTTGCCTGCCAATGATTTTATTTTTTTATTGTTACAAGTTTGACATGTTATGAGTTTCACAAACAAATTCAGTCATGCTGCCTTGAATTCTTATCAAAAAAATAGGATATGGTGGACAGATCTGGAAGCAACTAGTAAACTTCAGTGGTGGATTTTGGGAAGGAGCTTACGGCAAAATTTGAAGCTTGATTTGCACATTTCAAAATATGCACATCTGTAGCATTCAAACCCACTCCTTCAGAATTCAATTAGGTTTTTCCACATCTGACTCAGCCAACTGAAAAAATGGAATTGTATTGTTACTGCTTCTCAGATACGGCTAGTGTCAGGGAAGTGGGCACATTATTCAGAAGAAATAGTGGTCAGAGTATTATGACTATAAAGAAATGTCTGTTCCCAGACTCAGATGTATTTATTTTATTAGCACAGTGGATCAACTTGGAACAAGGAAAGTCTTCTTGAGATGGGGACACTGAGAAGTGTGTGTGTGTGTGTGTGTGTGTGTGTGTGTGTGTGTGTGTGTGGGAGAGAGAGAGAGAGAGAGAGAGAGAGAGAGAGAGAGAGAGAGAGAGAGGGAGAACTTTGTGGGTGTTCTGCACTTTTCTGATCCCACTTGACAGAAGGAAACTGGATGTATTTAGTGCCCCCAGTTCAAAAGTTTCCCACTGTCCTAAGGGGGGAATGAATGATGAGTGAACCTACAGATGTTTATAAAAATTGGCAGAAGATCTGGGAAGAAATACGATAGCCCTTTTTACTCACAGAAGGTTTAGCCATTCATGTGAGATATATGTATATATGCTGGATTCCAGAAGCTGATTCTGCCATCCAGATCCCTTTGAACTTGCATTTCATGGGGCTCTACACTTCAAAACACTCATGCAGAACTGTTTCTTGTAATCACTTACTCCTGTTTTTAGCATTTAATATTGTTCTGTTTGTTATTACATGCATTATTAAATGCTCATATTGTTTTAAAGGTTTTCCTGATCTCACTTTACCAAGTTTAAAATGCTTCCCAGGTATGGTTTCTCTTCTTTGAAAAGAATTCTTGTAAACATGAGTTAAATGTTAATGAGTGGCTGCTATCTTGGTCACAATCCACAGCCACAGTTCTGGGGAAACTGTGAATGTGGCATTAGAATGTGGCATTAGCATGGATTACTCCCCATCTCCCATATGTCAGTGAAAATGTGATGTGAAAAAAGGGTTGCAACCCTGCTTAACACTTAGTGATTTAACGTGGGTTAGTCACTGGTCCTGTTTGCATGCATCAATGGCAGTTCATGGCTTGATTAATCAGTTAACCAATGATTTGCGGTGTTGCGTGCCCCCATCATTTATTTATTTTATTTATTTATTTATTAAAACATTTTTATGCCGCCCCATTTGCCGAAGCCTTGGGGCGGCTTACAACAATAAATCATGTTGTCTATGCACCCTCTGATCAGCCTGATTGGAAGTTACTTTGTGACATCTGCAACTCAATACCACAGGTTAATTTGGGTATTCAATCACCACAGTTAACCTAAGAAGAAATTGTGCAAAGCTTTGAGGTTGTTTAACCAACAGTGGCCAGGTTTGCATGTCCTAGAGCAACCTCATCAGGCCAATCGGAGGTTGTATATTCAAAATGGTGGTGGCATGTACCATGGCAAATTGTGGACTCATTAATTTTGGGGTCGTCTGATCTGGGTCATTATTCATTTCATTTCAGTCCCAGACTTCCATAAAGTTACTCAGAGTGGTGTGCATGGTTTTAGCTACTCTTCCTACCTGCCCATATTTTCACAACAATCCTATGAGGTTGAAAAGTAACAATTAGCCCAAGTTTATCCAGTGAGCTGCCCAGTCCTAGGCTTCTGCCATCTAAATTGAACCATTAACCTGAACTAAGAGGTAATCGTGACCAGTTCCATGCCATAGAGAGTTCCAGGAGCTGATTTCTACATAAAGTGTTTCCATGGAAGACAATAGGGTGGTTACTGACTGTTTCTGGCCAGTTCCTCAGGACTGTGGAGAACAGGATAGTCCTTTGCATACAGTGAGATCTTGTGTCCTACTCATCTACAGAGCACAGGACTAATGCTATGAATGGGGAGCACATTCCCATCTTTCCATTGTCCCAGGAGAACACATAGCTGAACAAGAGGAAATGCACCAACAAAAAGAGGTGAAAAGGAACGGTGATTTGCATAGCATTCGCATGTGCTAATTTATGCATACAAGTGCAAATTTAGAAATAACAACTAGAACTAGGGGATTTGGGTGCCTTTCACAGTCTGCTGCCATGGTGCTGATGAGCTACTTCAACAGCTGCAGCCTTCCAGTTTCCTGGGATTCTGACCGTAAGCCAGCCTTGGACTGGACGTCTCTTCAGACAGAGAACACCTTCAAGTATGGGATGGTCTTTTGGCAGATCTCCAAAATACAAGACTTTCCTATTTAAGACCCCTGACCACACAGAAAGACAGATTCCTGCAAGCTGGTCTTTCCCTGTGATAAGGCAACAAGTACTTCTACATGTGATTCTGATGCAAGATGCAGTAACAGGGAACTAACAAAGTGCTTTCAATGGTTTTTAACCATTGCTGGTCCGTTATGTTGCCTGAACCCAGTCATGGTATTTCACCATGGTAGATTTGGTCTTTAGAACCATGATAGGAAGCCATGGGTTGTTCCATGGTTTCTCTGTACCGCCATGGCTTTTCATGTCACCTGAACGAGGAGCATGGTTTCCAAATGCCACCGAATCCTCTGGAAAGGGGAGCAACTACAGGAGGCACTCCAGCCATCCCGCCTGTATGTGTGAATCAGTGAGGAAGAGACAGAGGACAGTGGCTAATGGGATACATGCCAACAGTGGGAGGACTGAGCAGGAAAGATGGAAACCATGACAAAGTAAACACCACTTGATTGTCTGTCAGGTGGATCATGATAAGAAAATACACGACCCACCTGACAGATACATTGTACCTTCACAGGGTTTGCCACATGTTTGCAAATGCAGCCTGTGTGTGTGTGTGTGTGTGTGTGTGTGTGTGCACTTTAAAATTCTATATATAAAGTTCATTTTTGTTAATATTCTAATACAACATTGCAATATAGCAGTGCTCTCACTGACTATTCGACTACCTCCTTATGACCCTAGTTCAGCAAACAAAGAGGTGCTTTTTCTACTCCTTGCATGTGTGTTGCAAATAAAGACTTAGAAACTATGTTGGGGCTTCTTAGATAACGTCTTGGACTGAATAGGATTGACCTCAGAAATTGGCGTAAGATCTTACACACACACCCAGAAGCTCAAGTCAAGCCCAGGGAGTGGTCTGAAGATAATTAAGCAGCCACCTGGCTCATTGCAAGCTGGTTTGATCTGCCCATTGGGTGGATGGACAGCCACCTGGGAACTCTCTACAACAATTTGAGCTCCATGTTGGAAAAAAGACAGGGGAGGGAAATGTACTAGCAAAAGCACTTTTCAGTGGAATCCATTCAGCCTACCTTTCCTGGAACTAGGTATATTGGGTATATTTGACATAAGCATCTGCTCAGTTACATTCCCAGCCTGTCTGAATGTCATAATAGCTTTCTCCAAATGCTTATCCCATCTTCCTGTCCAGACTATCTATCATCAAATGAATAGATTCCATGATGCTAAGAGGGGAGTGTGAGGAAAGGAAGTGCTGTTGGATAGGATCCAGAGCTCCCACTAGCCTGTTTTCATTGCTAATACCAACATGGGAAAAAGCCTTATTGATAGACCCTGGGTCCATCAAGGCCAGTGTTGCCAACATGGACTGCCAGTGGCTCTCCTGGCCTTCCGGCAGGATTCTTTCCTAGCCCTACCTGGAGATGTCTGGCCCTTTTGCATTCAGAACATGTGCTCACGGGGCTACAGTTCTTCTCCTATGACCCTCAAGCAGCTTACCAATTCCTTAACCTAGCGTTAAAGATTGTGCTTCACTCAGTGCTGGTGTCCACTGGTGGATGCACTCAAGGAGAAGATCAGGTTAATATCAAGCATTTCCTGATGGTCATGAACAGAAGGAAATGCCCATGGGTCAAATGTGGCCTTCAGGAAGCCTGCACGCAGTAAGCCTGGTGTCTGGCCCAAGAGGCTTCCCGGTCTTGGAAAAGGGAGCCACCATGGAGCTTCCTGTGGTGGCTAGAGCTGTAAAGAGAGCTGTGCAATCATTGTTCTGTCTCTGGCCTTGGATGGGGAGATTTGCAGCATCTTCTGGCCTTCAGATGCTCTCCATAGAATTGCACTGAAAGCTCCTATGGGGAAGGTAGGACAGCACAAACGCAATCAGTACAAGTATCTGGCATAAATGGGAAGCCCTTCTTTGTGCAGGCTTTCTTTGTTTCGTTCCATTTTTCAGGCCCTGAGCACAGGAAAAAAATGTCCACCAGATACAGCACAGCTGGTGAATCATCCCTGCCTGCAGCTTGTGCTTTGGAAATGGGGGAGTGGGCCCAGCCTAATCCATTTTTAAGTGAACGGTGTCACAGAGGCTTTATAGGCCAAGCTTTCGCCTTGAGTGAGGTAATGCAGCTGTAGATGATGAAGCCAACACTACTTGGCTGAAGGGTCTCTCTTGTTTGTATTTCTAAGCTCCCCCCCCCCCAGTCCTCCCCACCCAGTCCTCCTTTCCTCCCTGCTTCTTAACAAGTTTTTATAGGGCTTTAAAATATCTCCGTTTTCATGGACTCTGCCAATCCTTTGAGATATGCTTTTGAGCTGCGAGAGCACATGTGATCACACAGAGGCCTCTGAGTTTCTCACAGAAGGAAGGAGCCTTGAGGAGCCCAACATATATCCAGCAATACAGGGAGGAGGTTAGTGCCAACACTTTAAAATGTCCTTATTTAGCATTTTAAATAGCAGGAATATGGCACCTGGTGTTGCAAGGTGCTTGCATGTCAATGTGAGCAGAGCGACCCTCCTGTGTTACAGGAGGGTGCAGAGCTGCGAGTCCACCTTCTTGGAAATGGCTGGGAGACGAGGGTCCTGCAACTCCTCTTGCGCATTTCCACACTGATTCTTTTATCTACACCCTCTCCCTTTAGGGTGACTGCTAATGAATTGACAGAAAAGGGGGGAAGTTTCACAAAAGAGAGGACTGAGAGGGACAGCCATATGCATAATGTTTGTGCATACTCATTTATATGTATAGATGTAAATTTAGCGATAACTTGAATTTAAACAGAAGTACAATCCGGCTCATCATATTGGAGAAGACTGGGTGGATGAACTGTGAGCCTGTGCAAGGTCCTATTTAGAAACAGAGCGAGTCAGAAGGGGCCTCCCAGGCCATCTAGTCTGACCTCCGGCACCAGCCGGCTCCGCTCACGACATGCCCACCATGTGGACGTCCAGCCTATCCTTGAACACCCGCACCGTACACCATTTAGACTGGTGTACTTCCAACTAATTTAACCATTAAGCTTAGGTTTAAACTGGACACAGACTGGACAGTTTGTCAAACAGAGGAAACTTCTGACAGCTCTTCAAAGAGAAGATCATCCTCTGTAAAATAGAATGATTGGCCATTCCATCTTCCTTAGCATCTACGGAACACAACTGAAGTGCTTGCTTGCTATCCCAGACAAAGGGGCTTAGTAAGAAGACCTTAAAGGAGCCATAACTTCTGATGAAGCCATCATTTTAAAAGTAACATGGATTCATTGGAATGATGCACTGTTCCCTAATTGGCACTGGCACTTCCTATATCAGTGTTTTCACAGGGGATATTCAATACCACTTAGCATCTCTTATAATATCTGAGACTGCATGAAGCAATTCATTTCTAAACGAACAAGATCCAGGTTTGTATGTCTAGGGAGGGTTCTTCAGGAAAGTGAACTCACATTCACATTTCAGCTTCCACAGGCTTTTCATGTCAACTGTGAACAAAATGGCTGCCCAGCCAAAGAACTAGGACATAGAATTGCATGAAATGTCTACATGCTGATAGATGGACAAATATGTACATTAAGAAATAATGACTGTAGTTTAATTAGAGTGTCATACATCTCGGCATACGTAGCTGAGATTTGATGGTGAAGAGTTTGACTAGGCTACCTGTTTACCTGTTCAGTCTACATTCCAGGTGCTAAGTACTTATAGCCTTCTTATGGCCCTTTATGTTTAAAGTGGACAGTAATTCAAATAGAGAATAACTTCAAATAGAGGATGATCCTCTTGAGAGCCTGTCAAATAGAGAACTGCCATAAGTAAAGTACAACATGTCTCTACTCAAAGCCAAAAGACAGAGAGCCTAAAGGAAGAGGGGAAAGCAAGCAGGGTAATGAAAATCTAGAACCTGAGGTAAATTTAGTTATGTAAGGCAAATGCCTGAAGAAACTGGAGAGGGCGAAAAATACAGGGTATAGGTTGAATGTGGATTGGTGTTGAACTATGGGCCATCATTTTATATGAGCCAAATGAGAAAACAAACTTACTAGGCTCAGACAACACAATAACCTACTCTCAAGGCCTGCGTATCAACTGAGTGTGAGTTGCTCTTGAAATGTGCTCACATAGTTGTTAACCATGGTTAGTTATCTTGGCTGTGTTCAGAAAAAAATGACAACCCATGTTTCAACAACAACCCACAGTTCAACAACAACCTGTATTCAATCTATACTCAACCCCTGAGTGTGGACTTTCATGTTATGTTATTGTCATGTTATCTGAATCCAGTCAATATGGTGAATAACCCACAGTTTACAGCCCAACAATAAACTATGGGTTCTCTTCATAGTGAACAAGCCATAGTTTGTAGCATGGCTGGGCTCAGACAACATAACCCATATCTCAAGATTCAACTCTCCCCTCCACTGCCACCCACCCACACACACACACACACACTTAGTCCATACTGAACCCTTGAATACAGGTTATATGTTGTCTGAACCCGATCAGGCTCTTGGGGTGTTCAAAAGTGGGTGGCTATGGAAAAATTGTAGAGCTCAAAAGTTTTAATGATGTTGACTAGAAGAAGAATGGAGTATTGGACATGCAAGCACAGAAGGCTGCTTGGAGTTGACCAAAAGTAGGGCCATAGAGAAGTCTCATCAAGGACAATACTTTGCAGAAGGCTGAGGCTGAGGTAGAAAGTGATCGGGCAGGTGAGCCAGATCATCAGGGCAGACCCAAGACATTCTGCTGCCTGAGGTGCCTCCCTCAGGTCAAGGTGGACTTTATCTAAGGCTGTTGGAGGCAGAAAATCCCACAGAAACTTCTTTAATCCCTGACAGCAAGACAACAAGCACAGCAAACAATTATGTGCTGCTTTTTCATGACCCTGGAAACAAACTTTCCAAAACAGCTGTCTCACTCTGCTGGAAGGTCTAGCTGGCTGAATTGCTGCTGAGAGTAAATGGCTAGGCATTGGATCATTATGCAGCAAGTAGTCACGGACATTTTGATGTACCAGATGTTTCTATGATGAAGGATGTTCCAGATGTTTCAAGACATTTAAGGGTTGCCTGGAAGGGAAAATTCTGACAAGGGCAGATCTCCCCATCACTGTAGCATTACCACAGGGAAACAAGCAACCAAGAATGGCACCAAACAAAGCCATCTCTCACATGTTATTCATTACATGCTGTGCATTTTATTTAGCAACTGTAATGGTTAAGAGTGTTGGACTGGACTCAGAAGATCTGCGTTCTGTTCCCTCCCCTCAGCCATGAAGCTCATTGGGTGGTTTTGGACCAATCACTGGCTCTCAGGCTAACCTACTTCACAGGAATGATTATTGTGAGGATTCAATGGAGAGGAAGAAAGCCAGGTAAACTGCCTTGTTTTCCTTGCAAGAGTAGGGTGTAAATATTGTATCATGATCATCATCACCACCGCCGCCACCGCCACCACCAACTTGTTCTTAAATATTGCCTAGGAAACTCTACCAAAAGGTGGCACATAAAGCTGTATGATAAATAAGAGCCTTTCTACTTCAAATCAGTGGTCCACCTAGTCCAGCATCCTGTTTCCTACAGACCCAGGGGAAGGGCATGAAGTCAAGAGCCTTTTCTGCTGTCGTCCTCCAGCAACTGGGAGTGACACAATGTTGGGAGTGAGAAAGATGGATGCCTTGGTTACTTGTTCTCAAGGACTGCTGACTGGGCTTCAGAAGAAGCAAAAGCAGAATGTGAAGCAGTACTGTGCGGAGCCTGAAAATGTGGGCCATGCGGAGACACTGAGATGAGGGAAGTGCAGATGCTTACCTCAAGGCCAGGCTCTCCAGGTGGACAAGCAGTCCCTAGGGATAATCAAGATGAACAGCTGGCAGGAGAATACTCAGAGCAAAGGAGTTTCTCGGACAAAGACTAGGCAAACCCAACTCTTGACTTCATGATGTGGGGCCAGTAGAAGAGGGCAGCCCAATTAGAGGATCGGTAGGTGGAGAGAAGGGGCCCAGAGATCCTGAAGAGATTGGGCCCAGGCATACTCATAAGGGAAATGGTGGAGGTGATTACCAGATTGGGTTCAACAAACTACTCTGTGCATGCTCAGAGATTCATTCTGGGTTGTCAGTAAAGAATGATTTGCAAGGAAATGGCCCGTGCCTTTTGAATGCATGAAGAAGAAGCCCTGGCTTCTGACACATAAGGCCAGTGAACATGGAGGTTTCCCACAGCCACTGTGAGTCATTGATAGGCCTTACCTGCCATTAATTTGCTGAATCCCCTTTATTGCCATCTGATGGCCAGTGGCCATCATGACATCTCACGGCTGTGTGAACTGCACACAAATAATGATGTACTACATGAAGAAACCTTTCCCTTGGTCTGTACTGAATCTTCAGTTTCATTGGATGACTCTTCATTTTAGTATTACGAAAAGGAGAGAAATGTCTTTTCTCCACACCTTGAATAATTTTATATACCTCAGTCCACTTATCCCCCAGTTGCCTTTTATTCCAAGCTAAAAAAATCCCCAAATATTACAGAAGGTAATCCCTCATGCAGAAGGTGCTTGTCCAGCTGTATGTGGTGAAATGTTCTTCTTTACACAATGATTAGAGGTATCTCAGGCTATACATCCTAAGAAACAGAGAGTCTAAGAAGGCTCTGTGTGTTTTATTAGAGGGAGAGGAGATATGGGTTGGGTTAGGTTAGGTTAGGCTGGGCTGGGCTGGCCCAGCTTCTTCCATCCTGGTGCCCTGCAGAGGTGTTGAACTCTGTTCCAGCCCCAGCACCTTCAGGGAGGGTGGGAAGGATCCCTGGAGGGCTGCAACCAATGACTAAAGACAATACTGAGCAAGATAGACCAAGGGTCTGACTCGATCCAAGGCAGCTTCTCCTAAATTCCAAGCAGGCCAAAGCTTGAAGAGTGGATATTAAGGTTTCCCAGACATCCCTGTTGCCACTGCAGAATCATTCAAGGGGTAACTCAGGTCATACAGAAGGTGTGATGAGAAGAATATTGCTAACACACCAAAGCTTTCCTGCTGTGAATTTGGATTTTGCATTGGTAACTGAACTATTTATGGCTTGGAAACCCTCAATAAATAAGACTAAGTACAGAGCTCAGTGGCCGTTTCTGCCCTTCCCTATTTAAGCTTTCCCTGCTGCAGTTTGACACGTCATTGTGTACCATGACAGTCTTAACTATTTAAGGAGTTAAAGCTTTTAACAGCCCTGCTGTTTCAGGCAGGGAGTGAAAGGGGCACTCTGTTCGCGCAAGGACTAGGGTGGCCAGCGCAGCATCCAGCACAAAATGTACAAGACCTTCTTTCTTTGGAGGCATATTTTACTTGGCAGAGAAGGAAGTCTTTTAATACCTACCTGCACATAATCCACGCTTCTCCCCAGCGCTTTGAATGCTGTGTACATAACTTCTCTTTTCCCACCCCATTTTTGCATGATGCAGACACTTTTGTTGGACAGGACCAGCTGAGTGACATGTTGCATGCTCTCTTTATGGGAGTCTTCTGTCTCGTCAGGACCTCTCTGGTGAAAGTTATTCCTCCAGACATAGGTAGCAGATTTATCTCTGCCCATGATTTCACTAAAAATGTCCATCATGTAAACATCATCTTCCGAATTCCCATCAATTACCATAATCACCTTAATTCCAGGATAGGTGAGCCTTTTCACTGAAAGTAAACATTTCCTTAAGTAGTTGGGGTCCTCCTGGTAGGCAGCGATGCAAAGGGCAACAGTTTTGTTCAGCTTGATTGGCGTTTCGAGAGATCGTTTCATCTTTCTGTGTTCAAGAAAGGCAAACAGGCTTTGGATGATGAGGTGAGAAGCCAAAATAGCACCGTAGAGTCCAAAGGAGAAGTAATAGTTGTCCGTTTGGATAAACTGATAGCCTACAATGTAAGCAGCTGAGATTCCAAGCAGAAGAGACACCCCAAATAGTGTGGTTCCAAGTATCCGCAGGATGCATATAAACCTCTCACAATGCATCTACAACAGATCAAGAAAGAACATTCTTATTTATCATTGCAGTTTCCCCAAGAAAAGTAGATGATTACAAACTGCAACTTACAACTTCCGATTCTGATAGAGCAGAAAAAGTGAAGTGAGGCTGAAAAACTGGGAGGAATCCAATAATGTATGGAATTACTGACAACCTTCATTTGCAATCTGGTTACAGTTTTACCCAAATCACGTAAAATGCCAACACCTCTCAATTTATCTTGGATATTAGCAGCAGGCCAAATGTTTGGAGCTAGAAAAAACTAGTTCAAAAGAAACATAGCTTGAAAAAAGCCCCTCCTAAAGAGATGATTCTCTCCTGAAACATGTTAGAGTTTGTCAGTATGCTTCAGTTTCCACTTACCGTTTAGTCTTGTTTGAGAACTGTTGATTAGATTCTACCCTTTTCCTGTGCTACAAATCCAGGCAAAAGCTGTGAGATCAATCATCGCTCAGTTAAAGGATTCATGGTTGGATGTAGAATCATTCCACATGTCAGGTGGTGGAAAATATATCTTTGCAACCGTGTGTACATGCCGCAGGGGAACACAGCAAGTCCCAGATCCCTGCATGTATCTGACTAAAGGTGCAATCCTATGCAAGTTTGAACAGAAAATAAAAAGACCTACAATTCCTTGCATGCCCCAGCCAGTGATGAAGTTCTGGGCCTTTTTTATGTCGAAACTTGCATAGGATTTCCCCCTTAAAGCACTTCACAGTACTAGCAACAAATACAAGCTAGCACTTCTCCTCCTGCCTTTTCCATCTCTTGTGCCATTCCCCTACAAGTGTCTGGGCTCCAAATTACGTAGCTTTATTTCTGGATCAGCCCCACAGTGTCCTGCATTGCATTGTTTTCTTGGGTCACCATAGCCTGGGTCACACAGGAACCATTTGGTGGACAGACAACTGAAAGCAGCCCTAGAGAAGACTTGAATGAGCAAACTAAACCCTTGATGCCATTCCGCTGATTCGCTGACTGTCTCAACAATCGTTTTATAAATGTATTTTAAGTTGCACAAGCCAAAATCCAAAACAGCCCCTCCTCCCACAAAACAAGAGCCAAGATTACTTCCATGTACTTAGTGTATTTCCTGTTCCTGCAAAGTGTGTTACAGGATTGACCTGAATCCCAGAACATCCTCACAAAAATGATCTCCCACTGATGAAGTCTGTGAGGCAGGATTGGCTGTCCAAGAGGGCACTCCCTCCACCCCACCCCAGTCTGGATCTGAGTTAGCAGACTCTGAACCCTGGGCTTGGAGTTCAAACACTGCGGGTGAGGGTGGAGGCTAAATTGGCAGAGGGCATGGGTGTACCAGGCCATTAGGGGCGCCACAACGGACGACTCTGCCCAAGGGGGCAGTGTTGGCTTCATGCCATTTCACTGCCTGAGCCAAAGGACAAGAAGGCACTGCCATCCATCCCATATATAAAAGCTGACCATCTTCGAAACTGGGAGCAGGACAATGTTCTTCCTTACACAGGAGAAGTGGGCAGGTACACACAACTTAGTCCCCCAACATCTGGTTGCTCCTTCGCACTAAGCTCTGCCACCTGAAAGAGAGGCTTCACTCTTTCTCACATGAGGGGCCTGCCCTTGTACTTTCCCTTTCGGTGTAGGGCAGTCAGCAGAACATACTGGGGCATATCAGTATTCAGAGTTACCTAGCACAGCTGGCCATTTATTTAAATCTGGATCTGCCTTAAAACTGTTTAGAACCATGTTGGAAGTCTTATCTCGGGTGAGCCCTGCAAGGGCATTGCCTCTTTCTCCTGCTTGTGGTTTACTTCCCTGGAGTCCATTCCCTATATTTATTTATTTACATGTATTTCTAGACTGCCTATCATTGCGGAGGCCTTCCTAGGTGGCTTACAATGCCTAAAACATATTAACAGAGTAAAAACACATTAAAAACCAGGTAAAGCATAATGAATTAAACATTTACCCCAGACATGAGCTCAAATGCACATCTACCATTTGTATATTGGTATATGTATATTGCATAAACACATAGATTTGCCCCCATCTAGTCAGTCTTGCCCTCACATGGATGAGGGATGGATGAAACTGTCAGTTTTGCTGTGTCCCATGGTCATATTTTTTAAGAAAATCTCAAGCTCCTTCCATCTGGTCTATGAAGAAATCTGTGAAGTTGTGCAAGTTAATATCATGAAACAAACTGGACAAACTTATCAGCTCTTTGCATCAGCCAAATTCAATAGGTAGCGCTGTTCCTAGCATGGAAAGGACAACGCTGTACTTGCCTGCCAGATGGGCTGTTAAAGTTGAGCAATCTAACAGAAACAAACTTGGTTGCAATATGCAGAGATTCAACTGCAGGCTTTTAAGAGTTAAGAAGCACTCAAAGCACTTTGTTTGGATGGGTCTGTCAATTTTACATCCACATTCAGTTTTTAAATCTCACCTTCTTTCTGTTCCTTTTTCTCAAGGATACAGGCACAATTACAAATTCTGGTAACTTTCAAAATACAAACTTGAAATTCTCACCCATGAGTTTTGGACCTTGTGGACAATTAACAACCATCCTCATGTCCTGCAGAATATAGTTTCCTATCAATTCCTTTGGATTGTCTCACTTGACTGGTTGAATTCTTTTGTCATGCTGTTGTTCCTGTATTTTTGTAGCCCTCTCAATGCCCTCAAAGTTACAGAAGTGGAGTGAGTGGCTTCCACGGGGTCCAAAGCAGTGCATGGTGTTCCCCAGTTCAAAGCTTCCCATTGCAATGAATTCACACGGTTTTTGCACAGAAATCACATCCTCTTTGCTTTGGTTTCCCATTCCCAAGCCACAAATGGGCATTATAATATTGGCCTGCTTTGTCAGCCTGAAATAAGGAATGAACAGGATGATGCATGTATTGATGTATGAACAGTTTTGAACAATAGCATTTTTATTATTTTCCACTAATTTTTAAATGCTCTGCATTATATGTCTGTGAGTGTGAACTGCTCAAGTCAATTGGAATGCCCGTAACCCTTCCGTCTTGGAGCATTATCAGCATCCTATGGAGAAAGGGAGGTATGCAGAGGTTAAAGTCAGCTCTGTGCTCCTTCTGCCCTGTGATTCAGCTCAGTGGCCAATCCAAAATACCTAGCATCTTGGTGGCACTGATCCTCCCCTTCCCACTTCCTAGAACACTCTCTAAATCCCATCTCTGAGCTTAGTCTTGCAGACTTGGAGATACAGACAGCATGGCTCTTTCTGTACTGACTTGACATGTGGGGAAGGATAGACTGAAGATTCTGCTGCATGAAATGCTAATATATGAAGTGGTATAGATACAATAATTAAGGCATGGGCATCAGTTGCAATGTATTGCACACACAGAGAAATGAACAGTTGAGATGAAAACCTTCCTTTGTGCATATAAAATTCTAGCATCATGTCTTTATGGGTATGGACAGATCTAAACTATGGAGCCCACCTTGTTGGTGAATGTAACCAATAGGAAATATTGCTTCAGCCCAAAGGGGTGGGACTAAGAAACAGAGGTGCTGTGAGTAAGAAATTTTGAGTCAGAAAGACCAGGAGAGCTGAAGAGGCTGTAGCTGCTGTTACTGCTTAGACTGCTAAGGCCCTTGCCTACTAGGTCTAGGAATAATTCCTATTTGTTTGTGTTGGAGGGGTGAATGCGCATAGTGAATTCGTGTACATGTAATATGTAATTGCCATTTCATTCCAGGGTTTTGAGAATTCTGCATGTGGAATTCAATGTTATGGATGCTCAACCCAGTTGAGGAAGACACCCTGGATTTTTCTTTGAATTTGAATTCAAAAGGACATTTTTGCTTTCCAATTCTACAAGCAACTTCTGTCTTAGTGTGGTTGCCGAGGACTTGGGTGCATAAGCTGTAGCATTTTGTTGTTGTTATAATTGCTCACTTACAATTGCTCATTGCTCATTGTTTGTTATATACTTGTGAATCGGAAGAGATTTATTTTGTGAGACTGTGTTTACAATGTTCACCAATAGAGCTCTAAGTGAATGAATAGCCCCATGAAACCTATAAGTGTGACCCAAACATGGCCTGAGCAGGAATCCTGAAAATGCACACATTCATAGCCGCTGAGAAGGAAAGAGCAGTACAATATCTTCCAGCTTCCAGTCTTAACAAGCAAGATAAAGCTTGAAGTGCTAAGCGACTGCATCAGTCTTGTCATTCCATGTTGCTTGTACTATTATTAGAAGGTCATTAACAGGAAAGGAGGAGTGGGGACGGACTATATATAGCCTGCGTCCTTTCAGGACTTGAAATAGAATCTGGCAACTTCGGGCATTCTTTGCTTGTCTCTCTCTGGAATCTCTGGAGTGCCCGACTCCATGCTATGCACGATCTAACAAATGCTTGAGATGCTAAGATGGAGCATCAATGAGCAGCCTCCATGTGTTTGGGGATGCATATGCACACATACCTACGGGGGGAGGGATAAAACCTTTTCAGGGATAGACCAGTTCAGGCCTATCCATATTTACTCAGTAGTAAGACCCCACTGCCTCTTCTCATACCCTCCAGAAAGGGTATGTAGGGTGATTTAAGCAGTGAGTAGCTTCATTGGGCCTTACTTGGGACTGATATGCACACATTTGAATTGCACATGGAGCAAATATTGTTAGATCACTGGGTGAGCAGCATGCAATCAGAAAGCAGCACCCCGGATTCCCTACACTTTCTCTTCTCTTCAGGATCTCAGAGAAGGTTCTGGGTTGCAGCTCTTTGGCTGCATGTGGTCATGTGCAATCTGACTTTTGTCAGTTCTGAAGGGCACCTCTGAGGTTGCCTGCCTCAGGTACTTGGGTGCAGTGGTCATATGCCATCCTTTGCAGAAGGATGATTTGAAGGCAGCCAGTATTTGAAGGGCAGCCCAGGCCAAGGCCTGTCCAAAGCAAAGAAGCTTCTCAAGGAAGGTGAGGGACCTTGAAGCTGTGCATCAGCAGCTCAACAGAAACAGCCTGAGCTGACG